ACTAGTTTTACAAAAAAAAAAAAGCAAAAAAAATTATTATTTTTAATAAATTTTAAAGTTATATAATTTTTTATATAATTTTTTAATAATTTCTTGTGATATTGAACCACTCTTTCGCAACATGTTAATAACTTTTATGTAAAAATAAAAAAACTAAAGCGCTTTAATCAATTATAACACTTATTGCTTTTCTTTTGATAAGAAAAACAGAAGAAAGCACAACCACACCACACATTTGTATTAGCTATTAATTAATCATATATGTATTTTGCTTAAAACAAATATAATTTTAAATAATTTGTTTTTGTTCACATCCAAACAACTGCATTAAACTTTCAGCTATCGAAAATGGTAAAAATCAAAAAAAGAAATGATAAAAATGGTATGATAAAAATCGAAAAAATTCAATCAATCTTTTACTAAAAGAAAAATCATATAGGAAGAAACCGGTTATATAATTTCTTTAATTCTATCTGCCTTTTAATTAAGGTACAAAGTAAGTGAGTCACAAACACAAACTGAATATAAAAATTTGCGTAAATTTATAATTTAAGTATGCCAACATTTCCAAATTGATATTTTTAAAACACGTCTTTTACTCTTTTCTCATTGGATTCATACACTTACTATTGGATTTTGTTTTTGTTTTACTTATTTTGAAGATTTTAATAATAGTTTTTCAATAACAAAACGTAAATATATTGAATATTACTAACAATGGATCAAAAAAAGAGTATATGTACATAAATACATTGTATATAGTATCATATGTACTCTCGGGCTTATTATACATACTCCTAATATTATATAAAACATTTATTTCCTCTTTTTATAACTAATGTTTATAATAAAACTAGTTTTAAGAGCTCGTACTCATATTACTCTTTCTTGTACCAATAATCACAATATACGATCACACAATAAAAATGTTTAAACAAAAATTTTAGATTCGCATCTTAAACTTTCGCTTTCACCGATTGCAGATACATATTTTATGAAGCAAAATGAATAAGGTGAATTTTTAAAGAAAAATTAAAACAAAAAGAATTAGCTATATGTACCGGCATAATCGCGAAAAAAAAACCAAAAATAAAAAAGCATAAAAAAAACAAAAACTGACATGTCAAAGTTAAGCTACAGCTTTATATGACTTGGGACAGCAAAAATGCTTTTATAATTGCATGTCTACAGAGTTGCTTTCTTTTTATATCGTTTACAACCAAAATAAGTAACGGAAATATTATTAAAATTATTTCCACATAAAAAAAAAAACATCTCACTTTTTCATGCAAAGAAAAGTCTTTTACTTCATTGGAAATTTTCTTTTAAAAACAAATTAAATTCAAAATGTATCATAAATATTATTTTGGGCTTATAATAACATTTGCTATTCCTGTTAACTACAACGTCCCCAAATAATTTTGAAATTTTATTTAATTAAATGCTATAAAAACATAAAACAAAAAACCAACCAATGGTATTGAAATCATATTCCATAAAAAATTTACTTCGTAACCTCCCCGGCTCTTAATTATTCGTCATACATTTTCTGTAAAAAATTCAAAAATAATGCAGCTAACGCTAAAAAAAAATTATAGCTTTATTAACTGTTTCTGTTTGCCAGTCCGTCTCAGCTATAGCTCAATAACTGATGAAACTAAGCTCACAAAATTAAATTGAACTGTGTTTAATTTGAGTACTATTGAAACCGAGATTAAAGTGACTTCCAAAGTAAATTGGTTATATTTCAGAATGAAGTCATGAAACTTTTAACGTAATTAGCTTACATCTCAGACTCATGTTGAAGCTATAGAAACAAACTTTTATTTCATAATTACAATTGAATCAAATCTCAGAAAACATTTAAACTGGAGTATTTGAATTTTACATAAACTATTACCATATGCAACCATTTCACAAACCTGTATTCAAAATTATTTAAAATTTATTCTGATTACATGAAACTTCTTATAAAACAGAAAACTATTCGTAATGAAACTGAACTGTCAGGGACTTGACAGAGTCAGCTCTATTTATTCTCGTTTTTATATATTTTTATTTATATAAATTTTATATTATTTATACACACTTATAGTTACATATTATGTACATTATGTAAAATAACACAATTAATAAAAGAAAAATACAAAATCTTTATACAACACGCAATATACATAAATATATATATATACGTATGTCCATATTTCTAATTTTATTGTTCGCTTATCTAGATTAATGTATAAAATTTTCACGTTTTTTTAGAATCAATTTTCAAAAATCATAAATATAGAACATTCATACATTCGTGTACAAATAAATGTCAGGGCCTGTCAGTTTTCTTTTTTTTTTGTTTCAGTTCCGGTGCTCGATTTAATTATATCATAAAAACTTATATAATATGAATACTTCACAATAAGTGCACAAAATATTATGATTTAGAATTTTATTATTTTACAATTTCAAATTTACAAATTTCAAGTTAATTAGTATTGCTTTTTTGTTTGAAATTTTGCAATAATACTTTTGTATGTTTAATTTAGCTGATCAGTTGTGTTTTTCCTCATTTTTATGGTTGAACTTTTTAATATTCATAATTGGTTTACACAAAATCAATTAACTGCGACTAAAAGGTTAACAAACTTATGTTTAAAAACTAATACAGAGTGATTTAATTTGTTTGATAGATATAAATCCAAATATGGTAACAATTTTACAAACAATAATTTAATATTTATTCATCTGTTTTAGAATTTAAAATAGACTATAAGTCGAGTATTAAAAGTATAATCAGAAACATTTCTGCTTTACCCAATTATTAATTAACTATAAAATTAAACTGGTACTGCAATTTACGTAAATAACTGCGATCTTATATTTGTTTTATGTGTTCTGTGCACATAAATATATACAAAATTCAATATTTAAAAAAAAAATTGTTAGCCAAAAGGTTTCTCAAAATATTGAATATCATTCTATAGACAAATTCGAAACACGCTGGCAAGACTATGAAGTAATTTTCTAGTTTTATTTTGAAGCAATTAATCTACTTTTAAAAATATGAAATTATTTTTCGAAAAAACTTTACACTGAGAAAATATAAACATCATAATCATAATTGCAAAACATTCTGTTATTATTTTTATAGAATATTTCATGAAATAAAGAAAGATTGGGAAGGTTCATGAAGAATCGTTAAAAAAGAAATTCATTATTCGAAAGCGATTCTCGAATGAATTTTGCATTATACTTAACTGACCGACAACTATGTTATTATTATTAAATAATATAACCTTGCAATTACCGTCAGACAAATTTATTTTATTTTCCATTTGAGCTTAATCCGTCAACCACTTTAATAGGGTTATTATTCTGAAACAAAACGAACAAAGTTCAAATTATATTTCGCACAAAATTTACTTAAGAGTTCCAAAACAACAAGTTGTGCGTAAGGATTTTTACATAAAAATTTACTTAATTGATTTTGTCACGAAGGAAATTTCTCACGTCGGGAACTTGAAATTTTTATTACAAATTTCAAATCAACATTCAATCGTAAAATTCAATTAATATATGATTATCGATAATTTTTTAATTTAATTTACAATTTAAATTTTCTAAGTGAATCATTTATTATTTTTTTGATATTATATTTTTCTTTTTTTTAATGAAAAACGTACTTAAATAAAAAATTTTTAAATTGAAAATTTATTGAATGTCGAAAACTCGCATAACATTATATTCGATTAATGGATTTCATTATGCATGGGTATGTATGTACATATGAATATACGTATGCATTTAAATGTAGCTTGTCGTATCACCTATAGAATATGCTTCCAGTTTTATCAGCAAGTTGTATTCAATTTTCTTTTACTTCACAATTTTTTTACAATTTTTTCTGTTTATTATGTTGTTAGACTAATGTTTAATAGCAATGGAATAAGAAGGAAAAATTTCAAATCAAACACTATAGTCGACTACTGAATCGAATATTATAATTTAATTATAATTATTAATATATAGAGTGGGTTTTATATTTCTATAGTGAATAGTTATGTGTGTGTACATGTATACTAATGCATATTCGAATTTCATTCTGTAGTATTCAATACAGGACAAACATGTTTTCCTCTCCTCTAATACTTGGAAAAGTCCATAGCACAAGTCGATTATTAAAAAACTTTAAAATATGAAACTATAATAACTATATTTTGTATTTTTATATTTTGTTTTCTTTCTAACTTAAACAAGCTAAGCATATGAAATAAATAAAAAAAAATAATACAACATTTTCATATTAGTCCGTCTCATATTCACCAAACAACATATTTTTTTTTATTATGCCTTAATCTGACAACTATTATTTTTAACTCGAATCAACTTGTTTACAATTATGTGAAATAGATAACCCAAATTATGACTCGAACTTACAAACGTATACGTGCGAAATATGCGAACTAATTTATTATATTATGTGTACTCATAAAACTTGCAACCAACGAACCTTCCTCAAACAGAAAACGTGTTCTTGTGTCCACAAATTGGTTATTTTGAACCAACATGTCAAAGAACTCAACCAATTCAGTATTAGTAATAATAATGAAAAGTTCGATAAAATTTATTTTAAAAGTTTACACAATCAGGTCTAAATGTCATAACTCATTACGTTTCCTCTGACTTAAATTTCATTAAAACTATTAAATAAATTAGAATTGTCAAACTTCTGAAAAATTATTTCAAAATTTACTAAAAGAAAATTTGAATAAATTCTACAAATTTATAAACTTAATGTGCTCATTCAACACACTTAAAACTTGAATGAAAATTGCAACCCCCAAAAAAATTGTTTTTATTATTTTACTAATACTTTTTAAATTTTATGCTATTGCAATTTATAACATGTTTATATATGAACTGAATTTATAAGAGAAAAATATTTAATCATAGTTTTGGTTTATTAATAAGTCAAGACAAAAATTGAAAAATAGTTTAGTGGAGGCAGTTTAACAATAATAATCGAAAAAATATTTAATTTTGAGAAAAGAATTAAAGTGTTTTGTTTTTAATAAAATTATTAAAGCTGTCATTTTCTATTTTCTTTTGATTTTTATTTTGTTTTATATCGCTTTGTCATTTAATTATCGTCCATATAATGATCTCTGTAAATTCGTGGTTATTTTTACTTGTAGTAATATTTTTAAATTATGATTTTGATAATAAAAAATCTTCATGTGTTGATGCATTTTTCGATGCATCGAAATATAGATCAAGACCCGGAATAATAATTGCAGGTCAAAATTTATTACAAGCAAGTGCAAATAACAATAATAACGGTAACAACAATCTAAATATTGTTAACGGCAATAGAAATAATGTTAATAATAGAAATAATAAAATTAATAATCGTAACAATGCAAACAATAGCAGTAACAAAAACAGAAAAAATAATAAAAGACCAACATTAAATCAAAATCAGTCAAGAGTAAAAAATAATAATAATAACAATAATACAAAAACTAATCAAGTAAAACGACCTAAGAATTTGCAAATTATAAATGTCAAACTATCCCAATTTGATTTAATGGAAACAAAACGGCTTAATGAGACATATTCAATTCTAAATAAATTAAAAAATTATGATTATTATATTACGCAAGACTTAACTCCAACTGAACCAGATATTTCTGCACCTGATTATCAGTACCCAGATTCAAATGAAAATATACAACCTCCACCTAATTTATATCCTATCCCACAGGAATATCCAATATTGAATTCTCAATACGACCCAGCAATCGATATTATACCTGTAACGGTATCATCACAACCCACAACAATTGCGCCAATAAATAAAGTTAATAACAACAACCAAGATAATAGTAATAATGAGGACTATTCAGATCAAGGCTACATTTATCCACAACCACAATACAATAATTTACAATATGGACAAAAAATTTATACACAACAATTACCACCGTTATCTACTCCCTCATATAACTTTCAACAACAAAATCATCTTAGTAATAATAATAATATTGATAAAAATGTGCCAGAATCATCCCCAATTTTAACAACACCAACTTTACAATTAAATAACTATGAATATAAAATACAAACATCAACATCATCATATGATCGAAATTATGATTATAATCATGTTACACCATTAATAGAACAACAACAAAAAACTGTAAGTGCAAAATCATACGACAATAGTTATTATCCGCCAATTAAATATAATATTCCAGCATTTCGTCCATTAAAACCTATTTATTATCCCCAAACTGCTCCAGACATCAAAAAGCAGCAACAACAACAACAACAACAGCAGTATCAATACCAACATCAATCCCAACAACCAAGATTACTCAATAAAAGTCCAACAGCTGTACAAGCTAATAGCAATATTGGTGAACACGATCACTCAAAAGAACAACTAATCAATCGTGAAACAAATTACTATAGCAGTTTTTTATTTAACGCTTCACCTGATAAAATTGGATCATCAATTTTTGGTTATCCTTTAATAGGACTATTTGAACCAAATAGTAATTTAAATTTTTGGAACATTTTGGGACGACGGAAGCGTACATCACGTAAAACTTAATTCAAACAATTATCTTTTATTTATATTAACATAATTATAATAATATTTATAATATTAGTTCTAATAATTTCATTCAGTCTCGAGCAAGTTCTAAAATGTAAATATGTACAACAAATTCATTTAATTCAATTTAATTCATTTATTTTTCGTTGCTTTTCAAAATGATAAATAATCAAAAAATAATATGTAATTAATTTTTAAAATGTAACATAACGTGTGTACATATGTATAATAGTTGAATTATGAAATAATTATGCTATAAAATTACATGTTTTCAAATATACTTAATTATCATGTCATTAATTAAAAATATGAATAACAAGTTGATAATAATTAATGTAAACATTGAATTTTTAATTAAAAAAATTTGGTTTTATTAAATATTTCCAAATTGCTTTTGCAAAAACTTGATTTTTTATAATTATATATATCGTAAAATTTAAATATATAATTTCATATAACAAGTTTTTGTAATAGTCAATATTAAATAATATGTTTACAGTTTACTTTACCCATCTATTCCATTATAACAAATGTGCTGTTACTGTAAATAAAATATTTTACGAAAGGCGAAAAAGAAAAGTAAAAAAATGTTAAAGAAAACTTGGTAATAGGTAATTTCCCTACTTTTCTCCTATTACTCTTACATACTCTCATATATACATAATAGTTGAAAGGATTCCAACGTTTTACATAGATTCACAGATACTAAATATTTCAATGTAAATATTTTAAATAACGCATAACCATTGCATATCTATGTAATTGAATATTCACGATAATTATAAATCATGAAAACAGAAGAAAAACAAGATTTCTATTACTCTGCTTTGTTTATAGCTTGAAAGATATCTAGTAATTTTTTTTTTCTATAAATTACTTGAAATTAATGAGATCTCGTTGATCGAATTTTTAAATAATCATAAAATATTTTTCAAAAATTCATAAAATACTTACTAAGAAAAGAAATTACTTCTAGAAAAGCAGGCAGAACTCAAATTTGTGAATAAAAGTTAACAACGATATGAAAAACCACTCAAAATTATTACAGTTATCTGAGATTGTTTAAAAAATTTTTTGTAATTTAACAATGTTCAACCCTTTTTCGAAAAATATTTCTTATTAGTTTTACTCGACAATTCGTCTGAATATATCAGAAAGTTGACGTCTGTTTGCAAAACTTCTAAAATAACTTTAACATGCAAAGCTGAAATTTCGAATACAAATAGATCTTTACTAAACTTATTTATATAGAAAAAAAAAAAATCTAAAAACTCAGCCCCTCTCCCTTTTAAGGCATAGCTCCTTAAAATTTTAAGATATAATTTTTTAACATTTATTTCAATAAATTACAAACATTTCTAAATTCTGTAAAATCCATTTCGTTACAAATTTTTTTCCCATCTCCTCCAACTTACATTTCAATGCCTCATATTTCCGCAACTGTAGTTTTAAATTTATATAAAAGCAAAATACGAACAGTAAATACCATGCCAAAAAAAAAAAATCTGATGTGGTTAAATGAAAATGATCTGATAGTTAAATGAAAGTGTTACAGAATATTATAAAAATGTCTGTTAAATACTTCTTTCCAATTTTTAGGACATTAGTAAGCTTATAGTTAACATACCCAGAAAAATGTAAATTTGGCTCTTAGTAGAGTTTCGCTTTGTGCTACCCGAATTCCCTGAAATGCTCGCCAGTTAGTTTCGGTAACAACCAGAACTCAAATATCAAATTTCAAGAAATTCCATCAATTTGTTCTGTGGAACAAATCAGTTCTCGAGCCCTGATCTTTCCAAAAAATTTATATGTTCATTGTTTTAATACGAGGAGTTCATATATTAAATTTCAATGAAATCGGTTGATTATTTCTCTTTATATACACAAAAATGTATATTTGGCCCGCAGTAAACGTCTAGTTGCCGATGCCTGATTTCTTCCAAAACATACGAATTTTTGCGGACGGTCGAGCTGAGCTTATATATAAAATTTCAAGTAAATCGGTTGAATATTTTCTTCAAAATGTTCAAAAATATAAAACAGGCCCGCTAAAAAGTGCAGTTCCCGAGGCCTGATATATACCAAAAGTTGATCGATCCGTGCCATGGCGGAAACAAACTTACATATAAAATTTCATCAAAATCGATTCAGCCGAACTTGAGATACACGCGTGCACACACAGACCGACAGACGGACAGACCGACAGACCGACAGGTTGCTAAAAATAGTTTATTTACACTTCCCTACTATGGAGAAGTACGTTCCCACCGAAAACTCGATATGCAAAATTTGTTGCCATCACATAACCTACCTATTGTTTACACAATACGGTCGGCAAAAATTGTTTGTCTTAACTTACTCACTAACGAAATTGACCATTACATTGACGTTTCTATCAAGTTTTTTTGGTCTCGTTCTGAGTTATTACATAACTTTGAAATATTTTGCCATATTTTAATAGTAGATTTTAATATTTTGTCATTAACTTTTTAAACATTAGCTAGTTTTTTCTAAAGCAATTATCTTGTTCAAAAGAAAAGTGCTACTCTGCAGCCCATTTGTTTGATCCGAAATTATGTATGTATTGTATTATGCTTCTCTGATATCAGAATTTTAATACGTATAGTATAGCAAGACTTACACATAAAATAAAAAATTTTTTGGAAACACATAAAATTTCACTCGCAGCAATTCAAAGGTATATGTACAAACATGTGTATAAATATAATCAATAAATAAAAATTAAAATAAGCAATTTAAATGATAACTGCTAACAGAACAGCATTCATAGTGCTCAAATGCTAGCTGTCATTTAATTCATTTGCAAAATTATTTATTTGATTATTTATTTAATTTAATATTATTTATGAACAAAATGGTAACATATTTTCTATACAGTATTTTTGTCTACTCTTTAGAAAAAAAAAAAAATTTAAAAATAAATAATAGGTATATTTTAAAATATATAACAATGTTTCAAAACGAACAAATTTTTGCATAAAGTTGGGTCAAACCAATGGTTTGTAAAGTAGCGCTTTTACCTTCAACAAGTGAAAATACTACTTTTAAAAACAGTCTACTACGTTACTCAAACTAATTCCATTTATATACCGAAGTATTTCAAACGGATGAACTAATAGGCACTTTTTTGAAAATTTTTTTGAAAAAGTGCTAAAAGCTATAAATATGGAGACCTAACTATGTAGGTATAATTTCGAATATAGAAATAATATTTTTATGCAAATGCGATATTGTATAAAAATTTGAAAGCAATTGGTTAACATTGAGATATTACTACTGAAGCACAAACAAGAGTGTAATTTAATTTTTACACATTAATGACTGGAAATCAAACTGTAAATAAATAAGTAAATAGTAAATAAATAAATAGTGAACACTCTAATAACACAAAGAATAAAAAAAGTACAACAAAAATTAGAGACACTCTCATTTACTTAAATATTGTTGAACTAGTTAAATAATGACCTCGAATTAATTCTAAGATAAATCGATTTAAAATAATGTACACGCATATAAGTATATATGTATTTTTATTTCTTTTATTTTAAGTACATACTACGGCTTACAGAAAATTACTGTTTTCCTTGTCAAAATTTAAAAAAAGTATTATTTTAAAAAGAGAATGCCCAAAAACGTCCAATTTGGAGCAGCATAAGGAAAGCATCACAATTTGCAATGGAATTTTATTTTGCTAAACAAAATTCAGTATAAAAAATTATTCGTACAAATACAATTTTTAAATTTACATATTATAAGTGGAAACTAATATGTAATCGATCCTATAGTTATTCTGTGCAGCATCGAGGGAAAAGGCAATTTTCTTTCGCACAATAAATTAAATTTTATAATTTTAATTTTGATAATCTCCCAATATTCCAAATTTCTAAAGTATTTATTTCAAACCAAAAGTTGATTTAAGTTTTAAAATTTGGTACATTTTAAATATTGCATGGCATCTTGATTATGAAACAGAAAAGCGGTCATACTTTTGGAATATTTGTCACTTTTTGTGTGGTTAAATAAAAAAGTTAAAAAGTTAAAAGTTGCTTCTGAAATATTTATTTCTATTATTAGTTTTTCTTACACTGTCCATTTTTTAAAACATTTTTAAAATAACCATGATTTGTCAACTGATCGCAAATTTATATACTTATATTTTAATTTGTGTTTCTAACTTAAATTACTCTTAGAAAATTTAGCTTACATCCTGACAAATATCTATTATTGATATTTCTGTTGTATGTTTAGATCATACCAGATGAAAAAGAAACTAATAATAAAATTACCCTCAGACCTTCGTTCCCAGATTTAATGCAAATTTGGACAGGTGTTCATTCCCTGCTTATAAATTCTGAAATTAATAAAATATCAATAATTTTAATTAGAAGCATAATGCTTTACTACCTTTGCACCATAAAAAGCAATAAATATGATGAGTAATATGATAACTGGGGTTCGTGTACTATTACAAGGTGAATATTTTAATCAGAGATGTTTAAGCTGGGTAAGAAACTCATCTTGGTCATTCCATATTTTTGCTCTTTCTCAATTTCCTTCTAATATTATATTCTTTTTCTACCACTTTCATTTCATTTGTAAAGAATTATCATTTCATTTATTTCCGGAGCTAGAAAAAATCCCATCCAAATCTTTAGCAGCCTCAAATATAATTTGGGATGGAGTGTTTCTTCTGTTCAGTAACTATATATACAAGATTCTCTTCACCAAAACCTAGTTAGGCCCACATTAGTTCTTTAACGTATGGAGCCTGTGTTCTTATTTTAGTCTATGTACTACCTTCACCTGGTCCACTTCTGAGTCCGTGAACGGAAATTTTACCGAAACGGTATTTCAGAATGTGGCCCTCCTTTTCAATCGCTTTTGCTGAAGCTTCGTCAATCCCAATTTTGAGTACCTGTCCACTTCCGTCTTCTTTCTGACTTATCATTTTC